TATATATATTAAAGAGACTTGGCATGATTCTTATGGATATCAGAAAAAAAGAAGTTATCATGCCAGTGGTAACTAGAATGTTCCAATACTATACTCTGAAAGTTGTTTTCGACAGTTGAAATTAATACTTGACCTTAACTTGTTTCTCTGTATTTGTCTTATTTTCATATGAATTGATTGCAAAAAAAAGAATAAACTTTTTGAGGATACTTCCCCTCCCATTTACCTTAAAAATTAATCTCAAATATGTTTTCATTATTTGTAAATCTTATTGTCCTAGTGGTTATTGACCCAATGTGTCAACCTCAAGATGGGAATAGAATACATCCCCTAGAATGAGAACAAGGTAGTCATTATTTAGCTTTGAGTGTCAGAGATGGCTTTTTGAGTCCCTTGAAAGAAAAATGATATTGAAATCCAGGTTTGTTGAGAGAGAAAAAAGGGATATGTCTATTTATGTTTATATTACATATGAAGACCAATGGAGGTCTATACATAAAACATCAGTTTTACATTCAACAAATCATATGCTTTGTTTCATTACAATGCACAGAGTCACTGTACCAAAAAGAAATGGTTGATGTTCAAACATTTCAAAAGGTAACATATGATAAGCAGCCAATGGTACTGAGGAAGGAAGTCCAAGGTGCATTGAATTAATTGGCAAAGAACAAGGCACCAGAAATTGATGGAATAAAAATTGAAATCTTTCAAGAAAGTGAAAGAAATTTCTAAGCCAAGAAATTTGGAAGACAATTAACTGGCCAACTGATTGGAAGAGATCTGCATTTATGTTCATTCCAAAGAGACATGACCCTATGGAATGCAGAAATCATTGGACAACATCTTTGATATCCCATGTGAGTAAAGTTTTACTAAAGGTAATACAAAAACGGCTGTATTTTCATTGACAAAGGACTTCCAGAGGTTCAAGCTGGATTCAGAAGAGGGCATACAACAAGGGACATCACTGCTGAACTCTGATGGATCTTGGCTGAAAGCAGAGAATACCAGAAAGTTGTTTACCTGTGCTTTATGACTATACAAAGACTTTCAAATGTATGGGCCATGACAAGCTATGGGCAACATTGTGAAGTATGAGTATTCCTGAACACTTAATTGTGCTAATGAGGAATCTGTACATGGACCAAGAGGCAGTTGTTCGAACAGAACAAGGGAACATTGAATGGTTTAAAATTAAGAAAGGTGTGTTGTATTCTTTCACCATACTTATTCAACCTGTATGCTGAGCAAATAATTTGAGAAGCTGGGTTATATGAAGAAAACCGTGCCATCAGAATTGGAGGAAGACTCATTCAAAAACCTGCGATATGCAGATGATACAACCTTGTTTTCTGGAAGTGAAGAGGACTTAAAATATTTACTGATGAAAATCAAAGAGCACAGCCTTCGGTAGGGATTGCATCTCAATGTAAATAAAACAAAAATCCTCACCACTGGATCAATAAACCACATTGATATCAATGGAGAAAAGATTGAAGTTGTCTAGGACTTCATTCTTCTAGGATGAACCATCAGCAACAGTCAAGAAATGAAACAATGTATTGCATTAGGTAAATCTGCTGCACAAGATCTTTTTTAAATGTTGAAGAGCAAAGATATCAGCTTGAGGATTAAAGTGCGCCTGACTCAAGCCATGGTATTTTCAATAACCTCATATGCATGCGAAAGCTGGACAGTGAATAAGGAAGACCATAGAAGATTTGATGCATTTGAGTTATGGTGTTGGAGAAGAATATTTAAAGGCTCTTGGGTTGTCAAAAGAACAAACAGATCTGTATTGGAAGAAGTGCAGCCAGAGAGCTCCTTGGAAGCCAGGATGTCCAAACTGCATCTCTCATACTTCGGACATAGTCAGGAGGGACAAGTCACTGAAATCATGTTTTGTAAGTGGAGGATCAGAGAAAAAGAGGAACACCACCAGTGAGATGGACTGGCAAAGTGGAAGCACCAAGGGCTCATGTGTGGCAACAATTGTGAGGTTGACCCAGGACTGGGCAGTGTTTTGTTCTGTTGTGCATGGATGGATTCGCTGTGAGTCGGTACCGACTCGATGGCACTTAAAAACAACATGTACCATCAGTTAACAGTATTTCTCTGTATTCTTTGTAGCTCTTTTCCTTATTTTTTAACACTTGGGCATATATAATAATTTGAACTACCAAAGGGGCACATTGTACAAGCCTACTTCCTGCATGCCAGCTCTCAGTCCCTCTCTTTCCATGAATCTAGAGTCCTCAGCTGCTACCTCTCTCCATGTCCCTATCTCTGCCTCCATCTCTGGTGTTGCTGTTTCTCTGGATAGGGTCCCATATTCCACTTGTGCTCTTCTCCCTTGATGGTCTTAGGATCCTCTGTTTCTGGACTGTAAGAGTTAGTACTCCCCAGTTTTTTTTATAAAACTTCTACCTTTACAATTGGGACAGTCTCAATTAGTCATGATAACAATTACTTGCTATTGAATCATAAGAATCTTATCCCCATCTCTTTTCACCAGACCCATTTAGACAAGAGGAAAACTATTCAGTGGGGACTCTATCTTCCCCTGCATACTCTTAAACTAAACTCCCTCTTGAAACCTTGTAAGCCAGTCATTTCATGACTTTATCACCTCCTCATTTTATGTAGCCAAAGTCTGTCCCTTTCTCCCCTTTATACAGAGGGAATAGCATTGATACTTTATATGAAGACTCCTTCCTTCTGTTGGTATTTTGAGCTACTGCATTCATGAGTATAGGTCAAGTTCATAAGATAGTAGCAATTTACCTTCATTTCCTTAAACAAACTTAAAAAAAAAAATTATCCTCTAGTTAAGCTCTGATTGTCAAGCCATTGCGGTTAGGTCAAATGGGTACTATCTGCAAGTTTGAGTGTTCTTGTGCGTCTCCCCTCATTACGCATCAGCTGGATACTTTACTCTCAGCATTAGCCCTCTGTGGCTATGCCTTTGTCCGTTGGTTCAAGTGTACCCAAGTCTCACCACACTTTGGACCAACCAGCCCTTCTTCCTCTTCTCTCTTTCATTTCCAGGTCAACGTGAGTCTATGGAACGTGGTTGAACTCAGCCCATTTTTTCATTGCTGTCTTTCCCCCTCTTCCACTCACCAGCAAGCTTACATGTGTTACCTTTGGTTTCAGTCTTATAAGGGGTATACATAAGGTTTTATTACAAAATAAAGATAGAAAGAACTTACAAGGAATAGAGGGAAGATAAAGAAAAAGAAGAAGAATAGGAAGAAATATAATTAACATGAGAAGTTTATAGTCAAGACTCAGATATATCTACATATACAGTTCAGCAGAACACAGCACAACAGCTTGATCATTTCACAAGAATTATGACCCCTGTGTAGGCCAAAATCCATACAAATGACTTACACCTCAACCAAAGATCAGTAAGAAAGAGCAAGAAACAGAAGAATCTTAGTCCAAATAAGGCGTCTACGAATATGTCATTTTATAAAAAAAAGTGTATTTTATGAAGGAGGAGAAGAAGGTGAGAGCTGTTGGATGATATAAACTGACAGCATATTTACTCTTAAGGGGACTCAGTTAACCTGATATAGGTTAAAAACTGGAAGAGATCTAGTTAACCTCTGGCAATTTAACTTCTTTTTTTATGATATCAGTAAGAATGAGGACTCATAAAAAAGTAGTTTAGGTATAGAGGAAATAATTTGCATTTTTACACATCTAGATCATGATATATATTTATACTCTGCTATACCTTGATTTTGTTTGAGTCTTCACTTTATTCAGCACCGTCTCAGAAAATGTATTTATTATCTTACTCAAAACTGCACTTGCATAAATTTTAGTTAGCATTCATTTTCATCCCTTTCTAAGTATATAACAATTAATCACTCTTTTTTTGTAAAATGATCCTCCTTACAAGTAATTTAATTTTTTGTCTCAAATGTAAAACTAGTTCTCTGTGCTCCAGCCTAAGTAATGCTGAATCTTGCAATCTTTTGATATGTTTTGCAACTCATTTGCACCTTTTTGAAGTACTGTTCACCTTTTTTACCTGCAAGTTCCAAAGTTCTCACTGTTCCAGAAAAAGATAGCTATTCTTTAAGGAACATATGGAGTCAAACTTATAAAAATGTATTTTGCTTTTTACATAATTTGAGCTAAAAAGTAAAATAAGAGTAAGCATACCAAAGGAGCATATCTTGGCTTTGGACGTGGAGGAGGCATCTTGCACCGACAGAGACGTTTGACCTTAGGTGATGGTGTTAACGGCTCACAAAGAGGTAGTGGAGGTCTTTCTCTTGATGGAGAAACTCTACTTATAGCTGCTTTTTTCCCTTTTCCTTGGAATGTGGTCTTTTTGTATGACATTCTGAATCTTTTCTTTAGTTCCTGTGCTTCTTTGTTTGAATCTGTGGATGTGGCATCTGATTCATCAACTCTATTTTCACTTCCAGGTTTATGTAGTGACTCATCAGATTCAGATGCTGAATCTTCAAATGCTGACTTTATGTGTTTTCTTAGGCCTTTCTTTGGATATTCATCAGATTCATCATCTGTAGACTCTGTGTCCTTTTTGGCATCCTTCTTAAAATCTTTCTTATTCTTTTTAAATTTCCATTCAGATTTAGATTCATCAGTAGATAATGCATACTTCCTTGAATCCTTCTTTTTGTCATCTTTCTTTGAATCTCTCTTATCCTTTCTTTCATCTCTTTTCACCTTCTTTGTCTCCAATTCAGATTCAGATTCACTGTCAGTAGACACTGAGTTCTTTGCATCCTTCTTCTTATTTCCTTTCTTTAAATTCTTCTTATCTTTTTTTTTATCTTTCTTAGTCTTCTTTGACTCAATTTCAGACTCAGATTCAATATTGGTAGACTCTACATCCTTCTTTGCATGCTTTTTCTTAGTATCTTTCTTATCCCTCTTTATATTTTTCTTTGCATCCTTTGAGTCTACAGATTCAGTATCAGTAGACTCTAAGTCTTGCTTTGAATTCTTTTTCTTACTGTCTTTCTTTGCATTTTTTTTACCCTTCTTTGAGTCTACAGATTCACCATCAGAGACCTTCTTTGCACCCTTCTTTGTATCTTTCTTTGCACCCTTCTTTGAGTTATTTTGTGAATAATTCCTTAGCCACATGTAAAAATCCATGGATTCAGTACTAGACTCCTCTAAATACATCATCGAATCCACATTTGAATTATTTTTTGAGTGAGTGTCTGATTTGGCACCAAAGACCTTCTTGGAACTCTTAGAATCTTTCTTTGGACCAGTCTTTGTACATATGAATTCAGTATTTGTATCTTTGAAATATTTTGAGTCTTTCTTATCTTTTCTTTTATTTTCCATTGAGACCTCTTTAGAATCCTTGTATTCTGAATTTGTATCTAATTTGAACTTTGATTGCTTATATGGCTCATTTTCATGTGATGATTTTGATGGAATTTTAAGTACTTTATTCCTTCTTTTATAGTTTTCATTATTTACTGTTTTCTTGAATTTTAGAGTTGTTGCACTTGCTCCTGTTTTTTTCTTACAATCCTCCATTAAATCTGTTATTTTATTGCCATTGTTGGACTCTTTAGATTCTGCTTTTTCAGGGTAGTCTTTGGGAATATAAGAACATCCAAATGGAGCCTGTCTACTGACAGCTAAGTAAATACATGGCCTTTGGAAGTACTTTCTGAAAGAATGCTTTATCCATATGTGAGCTTTCTTCTGACCTTCCTTTAATTTTCTTTTGTCCTGTCTCTGAAAAGATTGGTTAGATTAATGACAAATACTAATAAATGAGCTATTTCTTTTTTGATCACAATGTTAAAATAGTTTAGCTTTTAATTAAGCTATTTAAATTTTGAAAAAAATTCTCTTTCAAGACTCTGGTGCATGTGTATGTATATGTGTGTGTGAGAAAGAAAGAGAGAGAAGGAATTCAACTTTAGGCACAAAATGATGTTAAGGGAAAATTTAAAGTCCTTTAAATTATTTATGTTAGTACTTGAGCAGGCCCACAATAATGTATATATTGCAGAGTCTGTCCTCAGAATTGACAAAGGGTCCCTTTTGTATCCCTATATAACAGACATGTTGTGGAACATTTTTCCCACTTTTCACCCCCAAGTTAGCTCAGAAAAAGGCTGATCCTCTTGAAGTTTTTCATGACAATTCTTGTGATATTTGTAGGCTTCAGGTCTAACATTATTTCTATTCTTGCTTTCAGAGTCTCTGATCAATGATGATGCCTCAGATTTCTACCATGAAATATTACAAAACAACAAACTAATAAAGGGCTATAAAATAAAAAACAAACAAACGTTTGTTTCACATAGCAGTGGTGATTTTAAAAAAAACAAACAAACTACACTCAGACATTTATAAAACTGATTTCTAGAAGTAGCCACATAGTCTGATTTTAGATTTACTTCTTATATATCTTTGACTAATTAATATGTTGTTTTTTGTTGTTGTTACTAAGTGCCATCGAGTCAGTTTCGACCCATAACAACCCTGGATAGGGTTTCCAAGGAGTAGCTGGTGAGCTTGAACCACCAATCTTGCAGTTCAAACGGCTTTGCAGTCTGGCATATCATTAATAATGAATTAAGTGGTCATATGAAACTAAAGAGCAACTCTGAAGAGAAGCATGTGACTTGGATCACTACAGATATATTTAGTGAACCTTAAATAAATCCAATGACTATAACTCTGTGTCAGGAGAATCTTTAAAACAATACTTTTATATTTTCATAGGTAACTCCTGTATGCTAGATTTTTTTCCCCTTTTCTTTTATTTTCTCTTGTTTAATTGATAAGGTAAGTCCACATTATAGAATCAGTAGAAAACATGAATCTTCCAGATAAAGGAAACAGGGAGGCCCTAAAAACTCATCAAGATTGGCTCCCATTCTAATATTTAAATATTGAATGCTTTGTAGCTGGTCAACATTTCCTGAGAGATCTTAGTAGTTTCAAAATTAAGTTCTCCAGCTTTCTTAGCCTATTAAATGTTAATAAGAACATTCGGGACATTTCTGCTTTATCACATTGAATAGAAAGTAGTAACAATTTTCCCCTAATATTATTTTCAAATATAATCTAAATAAATATCAAACTCAAAAGACAAATTCTTCCTTGGAAAGGCTATGTAATGACTGATGTAGACAACCACATACAAAAAGTTCAGTCTGAAATTGTTGGGTCTTTTAAATAAAAAAATAAAGATTTGTTTCCAACAGATAGTAAAATCCAAATTATGTTTGAATTATTTGCCTTTATGTATTTTTGTACAAATTTATATTTAGTTAAAAAATGACCTTTTTCAATACTTACAGGAACTGTGTTGTGTAATTCCAAAAGTCTTGATTTCTTTTTATTACTTGGCTGAGGTGGTTTGGGAAATGTTGAAGTAAATATTTTTTGATTGAATGATTTTCTGTTTGATGAACTGACTAAAATAAGAAAGCATAAAAAGTAATTTGGAGTTAATAGCAAGACTTTCATCAGAATTGAAATATTCATGAGCAAACATATATTGTTAAAATTAAGTTATATCTCAAATTATGGCTTTTTCCATATGGAATTTATAGTTTATTTGCATAATGATTTAAAAAATTCATTTTACCACTTAGTTTTGAATGATATTAAATGATACAGTACTTTTATTTTCTAGATTAACCAATTTTCATTTAAATAAAAAATGATAAAATAATATAAGCAGACAGGAATGGGAAAAAAACCCAAAAACCTCAACATAAAGATTCACTATTTCTTTTTAAATATATCTATCATCCCTTTTATCTTAGTTTTTTTTTTTTTTCTTTATACCATTTTGGTTAGATTGCAGAAAATAGAGCCTCTTCTTCTATATTCCCTATAATATAGGCCTAAATACTACATTCAATCTTGCAACTCTCTTTAATGAAGGGCATAGGTGCATGAGGTCATGCTGAAAATTATTAGGGAAGATGAAACTATCTGGCACTTATATCAAAGGGAAACTGGAGAACACTCAGGATAGTTCTTCTGGAGATGAAAAGGCTAATGAGAAATATGATCAATATATTCAAATATTTAACTTGCTGTTCTGCATAGGAGTAGTATTAGTAGTAGTAACAGCATAGCCATAATTGCTAACATTTATATGATGCTTACTATGTGCCAGAGAGTGCTTTAAGACTCAACAAAGTTGATATTTATGCAGAACAAGTTATTTAATACTCACAACAAAACTTTAAGGTAGATAATGTAGTTTTACAGATGTGGAAAATGAACCACAGAGAGAGGTTAAATTACTTGTTCATGATTATAAAGTTAATAAGTAGCAGAGGAAGTTTAGCCCTAGAGTCCTTTTAATTATATGTTATAGATTTCTTTCATAAATTTTCTGATGGAAGAACTATAACCATTGGGTATAAGTTGTAGATTTCAGTTCACTTTCATCATCCTGACTATATTTATGTTCTTTACTTTCACATTTTGATTGTGAATTTTGAACACAAAGAGTCTTACATGAAAAAGGTTGTTTAATATAAAGAGGAAGAACAACAACAAAAAATTTTCCTTTTAACAACTACTACAATATAAAAAATATTTTATAGATACACATATGCACACACACCAACATATATACACATACATCCTAGTATTACATTTTAATAAAAATTCAGCACAAATTCTGTTTTTATCACATTGGATGAGAGTATCATTTGTCCCTAATACTATTTTCGAATATAATCTAACTAAATTTTAAACTCAAAAGATTAAATTCTTACCTGGAATTGGATTATCATATGTTCTGTTGTTTACTTCTTGTCTATTAAAAAGAGGTAAAGTGTTTTAACTGAACTTGTACTATGGCTAATTATAGCAATTATTATTATTATTATGAATAAGCATGCAATGACAATAATTTATGACATATTCTACATCTATGATCTCCATTATCTATGAATGTTTATTAATAATTCATACTCCAGTTCCTCTCCCTTGTTATCATTTTTGTCAACTTCTGAATTAAGTGAGTAACCCTGTATAGAGTTTCTGAGGAGTAGCTGGTAAGTTTGATGCATTTGGTTAGCAGTCCAGTGCTTATCCCATATGGTGATGAATAAAGACTATTTTTACCAGAAACTTGAACAAAAATCTCAACCAAGATGTAAAATAAAAGCACTGATTTGACTAATTCTAAACTTTGAACATATGTTGCTTATATCATGTAAGACCAAAATGTGAACAAGTTTTGAAAAAAAAATTTTTCTTATGAAAAATTCTAAACTAGTAGAGGATTAATATAGTTCTTAAATTCACTAAATAAAATGTTAAGAAACCAACAGTTTTTCAATACTTCAAAACAAATTCAAACTCTTCATGATATGTGAGGGGAAATACACATACGGATTTTGAATTTTCTCAAAAATTAGTCTCTGATACTTTCTATTTGAAAGATTTTCATTTAATTTGTTAATAATTGACATTGTCCATCAAGAATATACAAGGCATGATTTGTTTTTTAAATGTTACTTTTTATTGGTTAGCTTGGGCCTTGAGTGTGATCATTGCTACAGATTTTCCTAGAGTTTGAATTTTTTACTTACCTAAATCATCAAATCAGTAAACTAAAAACAAGTCAGCCAAAACAATCAAATCTTTGTATATTTGAGTAACATTTATTTTTATTTCTGAAGGAAAGCCCTAGTTAATATAAAGGCTGACACATCATTCAATAACTACATAGTTACTCTGGAGAAGATTTTGAAGACAGTCAACAATTCAGTAGTTGAGTACTTCTCAACTACAAGAAAACATTGTTGTTGTTGTTAAGTGCTGTCAAGTCAGCTCTGACCAATAGCGACCCTGTATAGGATTTCCGAGGAGTGGCTGGTGAGCTTGAACTGCTGACCTTGTGGATCAAACTGACTTTGCAGTTTAGTGCACAAACATTAGAAGAAACTTAAAAACCTTTAAAAAGTAAACTTGCCTTCGAACTGCCCCCAAAGCATGTATCAGAATCTCTGGATATGGGTTAATCAAGTCTGTGTTTTGTTACTTAGCTCTAATATAAAAATCTGTATTTTGATGCTCAAAACTACTGTTCTGAACTAATGGTCACAAAAAGGAAAGTCTGTACATTTCTGGAACAGTTCTAGTCTATGGTTTTTGCTTTTTACAAAAGGCAGTTGATCAATGACTCATTAATTTTTGGTGAAACCACGTTCATTTAGGAGACTATTTCGAACAGACTATGAACTGACGGTCAAGAAGTGTAATAGTTTGGAAGTCTGCCAGGCTGGCTGGATGGCTGCATTCACACTTGTAAAAACACTGTATCTGCATTGATTTAGAATTCTTCCAGCAATCTAACCAATAAACAACATTATTATCAATGGATAAAAGATTGAAGTTGTCAAGGACTTCATTCATTTTATGTCAACCATCAACATTCATGGAAGCAGCAGTCAAGAAATCAAATGATGTATTGCATTAGGCAAATCTGCTGCACAAGACCTTTTTAAAGTGTTGAAGAGCAAAGATGTCAGCTTGAGGACTAAGGTGCGCCTGACCCAAGCCATGGTATTTTCAATAACCTCATATGCATGCAAAAGCTGGACAATGAATAGGGAAGACCGTAGAAGAATTGATGCAGTTTAAAGTTATTAGATATTAAATGATAGTTAAAACTCTGAGAAGTGTTCGTCATTTCTGAAGTGTATTCTTAGCTTGGTCTCCATGTTATAAATGAATCTGTGTATATTTCTTTGAAATGTAAGTGGTACTAATCTCTATCTGGAGTCCCGGGTTGGTGTTGCAGGATGATGTGCTGCACTACAAAGTTAGTTTGAACTGCAAGGTTGGCAGTTCAAATCTACCAGTTGATCTTCAGAAACACTATAAAACGTCTCTATGGGTCGAACCGACTCAACAGCACTAACAGCAACATACTCTATCTGGTTGGTAATATGGAATAAAGCAATGGACAGCAAGATCGGTTTGAATCACAAGGTCAGCGGTTCAAACTCACCAGTCACTATGAGTCAGAACCAACTCAACAGCACTAAACAACAACTATCTGTATCTTGGGAGCACAGTAGCTCTATAGGATAAGCACTAGACTGTGAACCACAAAGTGAGCAATCTGAGCCCACCAGCTACTCTGCTGAAGTAAGATGAAGTTTTCTGCTCCAGTAAAGATTTACAGCCTCAGGGTTCTTGTTTCCCGAGCCGAACTCGGCTGTGTGTGTGTGGGGCGGGGGGTGGTTTCAAGGCCTCGACAGGATGGTAACAAAAGACCTGTTATCACAGCATGGGTGAGGGGGAGTGGGGATGCGGAGCTTTGCGTTGTGTTGGACTGTGGGTGGGTCCAAGGGGCTGGTAGGCCGGAGTCCCAGGTCCAGGCCAAGGACATGGCCGGAGCTTGGTGTTCTTCTGAACCCGCAGCGCGGCTCATGTTGTGCTCACCATGAGGCCTCAGCAGGTGCCCGTGTCCGGGAAGGCCTTCATTCAGCTACAAGGCAGCAGCTGCACACACTGCCAATTCCAGACAGATTTCCCACCGGAGCCGGAGAACCGGATTGATAAACAACAGTTTGAAGAAACCGTTGGAATTCTAAATAACCTTTATGCAGAAGCAGAAGAGCTTGGGGTCCAGTTGTACCTTGAAGGTTGTTTGGCTTGTTTAACAGCGTACACCATCTTTTTATGCATGGAAACTCATTATGAGAAGGTTCTGAAAAAAGTCTCCAAATACATTCAAGAGCAGAATGAGAAAATACATGTTCCCCAAGGCCTCCTGACAGATCCCATTGAGAGAGGATTTCGAGTTATTGAAATTACCATTTATAAAGACAGGGGCATGGGTAGTGGATGATAAAACTTAGAGTCAAAGTTCCCACCTCAAACTGGGACCCTCCTGTATCTACTGGTAGACCACAGAGTGTTCCTTACCTTCTCTCTAGAGCATCATTCCTTTCTATCTGCTGCCAAAGCCATGGTGCCACTTACTCCAAGGACTAACTTACTAAAATTCCATGCCTGGGGTGACCACTAGCCACTCAGCATCCATTTTGTGATTCTAAATTGTATAAGACTCTATAATCTTTTGGTTAGTGTCTGAGCAGACACAATGAAGCATTTCACTTTTTTACCCAAAGTTGTATAAAAAAATTATACAGTTCATCTGCCCAATGCAAAGTTAATTTTGATCTGTCAACATTGGGTTCTCCTGGTTCCTTGGGCCAGGCTCCATGGTGGCTTTGGATTTCAAAAAGTCATATTTTAGTCAGTGTTCAGTCTTATTCTCCAAAATCAATAAAATGCTTTTCTTCCAAGATTTTGGTGAGGGGTAGACTGTGCCCATAATTTTGCTAATGCATCTCTCAGATCTCAAGGTACTACCAGTTTTACCATGACTCAGATCTTCAGAAGATCAATTTCTGGTGTTCAGTGTCGAATCGAAGCTCATTGGAAAAATGATGTGCTATTATAGCAATTATTCCTAACTGAGCCAATATTTAATGCAGATTCCAGTTTTTCATATGTTTAATTGCTTTTATTTTGAAATTTTTATGTTATGATTGCATTATCATGAATGTTGAAGAGATGTGTGTTGCTTGTTCACTGCAAAGTAAGTAAGCTCAATAAAATAAATGCTAACCTATCAAACACAGAAATATCCCTGCTGTGTCCATGGATATCTAAGCAAGTGTAATAAATATTTTAATTATAGTTTTGTTATAAATATAACATGAAAAAAGTAATTTGATAAGAAAAATACTGTGCATCGCTAATTTTTAACTATCCCCACTGGCAAACCTTACAGACCTTCCTCATATACAGTATTCATTGCACAGAATTCTTATGATTCGTTCAAGTAAAGTAAGTGATTTCCATGTATAACTCTCAAGTCTATGTCAATATTTCTAATGCTTATTTTGGCTGCACATTTTTAATAGCATGACTTCTTATGCCTTGAATTCATCTTTGGGACTGAGAGCATTTTATTTGGGAGAAACTTTGGAGAGAATGAAACAATTAAGTTTGACTTTCAGAGATATTGTAGGTGCTAATACTGGATTTAATCGTTCAGATTTAATTTCTTTAGTGGGTTTGTTAGCTCTTCAATAAATTCCATGTTGTTGTTGTTATATGCCATCGAGTCGGTTCCGACCCATAGCGACCCTGTATAGGGTTTCCGAGGGTGTAAATCTTTACTGGAGTAGAAAGCCTCATCTTTCTCCCGCGGAGCACCTGGTAGTTTCGAACCGCTGACCTTAAGGTTCGCAGCCCGATTCGTAACCACTACGCTACCAGAGCTCCTCATATAAATTCCATAAGTCTGTATAAAATTGTAATTGTATATATATATATAAAACCTTTGTAACTTAATAGCCTGTAATAACAGTGTGTTCTGTCTGATTTTTAAACTCATTGCCAGAACTTTGCTGACATAACACACTAAAACTTTTCATTAAAAAAACAAAAATTACAGTCTCAGAAACCTACAGGAACCATGGTTGCTGTGAGTCAGAACGAATTCCATGGCACCTAACAACAGCAACCTCTTTTTTGAGATAAAGGGAAGCCAGAGGACAACAAAATGATATCTTTAAAGTTATGGAAGAAAATAAATGCCAGTTTTGGATTTTTAAAACAGCAAAATATTCTTTAGAATGAAGATGATATAGAGACTTTATTTGCAGTGCTTCCTTAATTTTTAATTTGTTGTTGTTGTGTGCTGTCGATTCTGGCTCATGGTGACCCTGTACTGGGTTTTCAGAGCAAGTGTTTATTAATTCTCAAATGTCTACTAGTTATGATGCTTAGCAAACTAGCCAGAGTCCCCAAGATTGTGCTATTTAGCGGCATATCATTCAATGAAGCATACTTAACTTGTTGGAAATACAGATATAATTAAACAACAGCAACAGCAAAAAACTAAGAGAATTGTATTGCCAGTAAAAGCATTAAAACAAATATGAATAATAATTCTCCAGATGGGAGAAAAGCAGTGCCAAATGATATGTAATTAATGCAAGGTGAAATAACCAATAAAGAGTGGAGATATTTGGGCACCAAAATGATTTGTTAAAGAAATGATTTCTTGACATAAGTCAAGAAACGATTTGTTAGAATTTCCGGTTCCGGGCTGCAACCAGGGGAGCCAGGTAGGGAATGTGCCGGTGAGAAGGGAGGGGGATCTCATGAAGGAAGCAGTCATGTAGCAAACCCACAGTTCCGGAACTATCATAAGATCTAGGACGTCAGTTTCCTGAACTCGCATTTTTAAAAAAAAATCACATTACTAAGGAAAATACAGTCTTCTTAATAGTCTCACGGTGGAACCACTTTAGCGACTACCCTGGACCTGCAGAGTTTAGAGGGTGGGACTAGCCCATTCAGAAAGCAGCGTTTCCAGCAAAAAAATACAAAAAACAAATCCGCAGGATACTACACATCCCTCCCTGTCCCAGCTTTAGATCTCAACTCAGGCATCAGGCAGGAAAGTTTTCCCATGACACAGAGAAAGGGAGAGGGGTAGCAAATTTTAACGTCACCGGCGGGCCTAAAGCTGAAGCCGTGTATCTGAGCCGCGGCAGGACACCTTGCCTTACTCTGATGTAGCAGTGTGGAACTTCCAGCTATTGTTCTAGCAAGCCGTGGCTGCTGCCGCCAGACCAATCTGGGGGCAATATGATCAATAGAAAGCAACCTGTAAACCCACAGCATAATACGACTCAACCATCCGAGATTTGCACAGTGCACATGCAGATAACCGCAAACAATCTGATCAGGGTTCTGAGGCACTTCAGAACCTTTCTACTTACTTTTCTCCCCAAAAGCAGCTTAGAATTTCCAGCTACCAACCTTGCACACCACGGCTAGGATGCTGCCTGAGTTCGATGGGCAGGACAAACTCCAGGCAAACTATAAAACCCCAATAGAACAAGCCTCAACCATCCCAAGACTGGTGCTGAGCACATGCAGATAACTGACATTCAGAGACAAAAATAGTGGTAGATCGTTCTCCCATTAACTCCCCAATATATATCTGCCCACTTATACAGCAGTGGCTAGAGGAAGGCCCTGAAAGAAGGGTCACCTCCACTTCTGCTAGAGGTTTCTATTTAAACACACACTGATGGTGTAGCACGGGAAAGTTGACCAAAGCCACATCTCTTCTCCAAAGTGGTGATTTTTGTCTATATTATATTACTTCTGCTTTTGGTCCTTTTGATCACACATCTGTCCTGGAGGTGGGAGCTTTTACTCCCTACATCACCTAAGAAGAGGAAGAAATGGTGGCCATATAGCCAAGCTATAAGCATACACCATAATATGCCACCACTAAGACAAGACCTAACAACACCTGCTACACATTAAAGGCAATAAGGGAAGCCTATCTCCTGATCATATTAATAATAATAAAATAATAATAACCATGACGAATACAAAACAACAAACATTTTTGAAACATGTCCCAAAACAGAAGAGAGCAGCTGATGCAAATGAGCTGGAGACAGATAAAGACTTTATAGAGGAGAAGGAGCGGGTTCTGGATATGCCTGAGAGGGAAATCAGAAGAATGATATGGAAACAAATGTAAATACTTTGAAAAGGTGTCAAGGAAAATAAGGAAGAAGTAAGGAAAGTACTGCAGGAACGATCACATAGGATTGACACAGCATTGGAAACAATTCAAAACCTGCAAAAAGATGTCCAGGTGATCAATAATAAGATATCAGAAATGGACAATAGGCTGAAAGGGGAAAGGAGCAAAATAGAAGAGATGGAAGCCAGAACTAGAGAACTGGAAGACGATTCTATCAATATTGCCACGATAGAAGAGCAAGCAGCTAAAAGGATAAAATAATCTGAAGAGAGTCTAAGATTCATGCTGGATAACATGAAGAGGAATAATGTAAGAATTATTGGCATTCAGAACAAGAAGAATCAGAGAAGTCCACAGAGGAGATAGTTGAAGAGCTTCTGAAAGAAACTTTTCCTAACATCTTGAAAGATGAGAAGATAAATATCAAGAAGGTCAACATACCCCAGGAAGGATAGACCCCAAAAGAAAGTCTCCAAGACATATAATAATCAACCTTTCCATAATCAAAGACAAGGAAAGAATACTAAAAGTGGCCAGGGAGAAGAGAAATATAACTTATAAAGGCAAGCAAATTAGACTAAGCTCTAACTATTCAGAACAAACCATGCAGTCCAGAAGACAATGGGGAGACATATACAAAGCCCTGCAAGAAAAAAAAAAAAATATCAACCAAGAATTGTCTATCCAGCAAAACTATCAATCAAATACGATGGTGCGATCAAAACATTCCAGGATAAACAGAATCTGAGAGATTTTTTCAAAACTAACCCAGAACTTCAAAACATCCTAAAGGGAGTTCTGTGGACGGAGAACCACAAGAACAGACAACAAACAGAGAT